GCCGAGGCTCTTAGCTCTTCCTTTTTATCTCTGAGGACCTCTGGTGTCCCTATGGGAACAGGGCGGTTACCCTGGCCTCTTATGCTCTGGAGTTGGCAAGAGGATAAAAGAGAAGGGAAAACATTTGGGGACAAGAGTGGTGTTACCAAGAATTTTGTGTGGTATGGAAAACAAGACTACAATGACCACAGGGTGGCTGCGGGCCAGGGTCCCTCTACTCCCTGTCCATTAAAAACTCTCTATGTGGCAGCTGCTGGTTCTGGAGCCCCAGCCAGAACAGCCAGTGCAGTGGGCTGTACATGTTGGCTCTGGATCATGACAGCCTGCTTTAAGTATCAGCTCCTCATTTGCGAGCTGTTACTTAACTTTCTGTGCTTCACTTTCCCCATCTATAAAATGGGGACAATAATAGAATTGGCCTCTGGAAAGAGCCCAGGATCAGAGTGCTAATCCAGAAAATGAGGACATGAAGCCCTTGAACAGACTTTCGGAGGCAACCCAGTATGACTGCCTTCATTGGGGAAGGCAGGGGGAGGGGACTGCTCCCCCAACGCAATGTTACACTGACTTGTCTCCAGGTAGTTTTCTCCTGGCAGGGGCTCCAGGGAGGGCTGTGTGGCACTGCCTCCTGTGGCAAGCAGGGATAACTGCATGGCTACCTGGCGAGGTGGGAGGGTCCAGGAGGCCTGATCCCCTATTGTCTTTTTTTTGGTTTTTTTGGTACCAGGGATCGAATTCGGGACCTTGCGCTTTAGAGGCAGGTGCCAGAACCATTTAAATCCCCGGTCCCTGATGCCCTGTCATCTTGATCCACAGATCTACCGGAGGTGCTGGCTGGTATTCCGGAAGTCCTCCAGCAAGGGGCCCCAGCGGCTAGAGAAGTACCCGGATGAGAAGTCCGTGTGCCTCCGAGGCTGCCCCAAGGTTAGGGGATCTGGGCCCTAGCTTCCCCATTCTTTGAGCAAAGATGATTTGCTGAATCCTGAGGTCCAAGAGTACCTCCTGGGGGTGGCAGAGTTCTGGGGAGGCAAAGTTGCACCAGCCAGGCTTAGTCCCTTGTGGATGCCACCCCAGGTGACTGAGATCAGCAATGTCAAGTGTGTCACGCGGCTCCCCAAGGAGACCAAGCGGCAGGCTGTGGCCATCATATTCACCGATGACTCTGCACGTACTTTCACCTGTGACTCAGGTGAGGCCTTGGTCGGGGCTGCTGCCTCTATGTGGTCTCCCTGTCCTGGTCACGGTCAATGGCCCAGCCAGGAGGAGGCAGAGCAGGGCTGGCCCCGGCCGGGGAGGGTGATGTGGGGTGCCCTTGAAGGAGCTGCCCCAGACTGAGAAGGGCGGGCAAGCAGCATGGCCTTGCCCTCCCTGCCTTACGTGGTGGGATTCCTTGGGCTGAGGTAGATGGGAAGCCTCCTGGCTACCCTGAGCCAGCAGGAAGATGAGGAACCATTTTCTCCAGAGCTGGAGGCGGAAGAGTGGTACAAGACACTGTCTGTGGAATGTCTGGGATCACGGCTCAACGACATCAGTTTGGGAGAGCCCGACCTCCTGGCACCCGGTGTGCAGTGTGAGCAGACAGGTGAGGTCTGGCCCTGCTCCTGGGTCAGGGAAGCGAGGGGAATCAGGGGTCCCCCTCTCTGCTGCCCCATGCCCACCTGTCCCCTCCTGCTCCAGATCGCTTCAATGTCTTCCTGCTGCCCTGTCCCAACCTGGACGTGTATGGCGAGTGCAAGCTGCAGATCACCCACGAGAACATCTACCTCTGGGACATACACAACCCCCGTGTCAAGCTCGTCTCGTGGCCCCTCTGCTCCTTGCGCCGCTATGGCCGGGACGCCACTCGCTTTACCTTTGAGGCAGGCCGGTAAGACCCTCTTGCCTCCCCAGCTCGTCCCTGGTCATGCACTCTGTCAGGCATAGTGCTAGTTCAGAGTTAGCAGTATAGCAATCTGAAGAGGATGACGTTTCTAGTTTTACAGAGGAAGAAATCAAGGCTCAAAGTAATTTGCCCTGGGCAGCCCAATCAAGTAATGCTGTTTACCAAAGGGCTAACGGCTCAAATCAGGTGCTGGCACTGGGGGATAATGAAAGTACTGAGAAAGTTATGGCAAGGATGGTTCCTGGCTGGAACTTGAGTACTCTGTAAACTGGGCATGATGATGCATGCCTGTAATCCCAGCACTCAGAGGCTGAGGCAGGAGGATTGCTGCAAGTTCGAGGCCAGCCTGAACTACTTAAGTGCGTTCAAGGCCAGCCTGAACTGCATCGTGAGACCCAGAAATCTCTCTAATCCTCTGTACAATCTTGGTTGAGTTACTCAGTTTCTATATGCTTTGGTTTTCTCATCTATAAAATGGCTTGAGGAAACATAACAAGGGATTTGTTAATTATGTGGAGACCAGAGGGTGGTGGTGGTGGGTTAATTCTTGTGAAGCATGTTGAGCTCTGCCAGGCTCATGGAAGCACTCAGCGCATGTGCACTGGTGGTCAGGCTCCCAGCCACAGCCCTGCCTGTGCCCCAGGAGGCCTGGGTGCAGGACAGCCTGGCCAGGCACATGCAGTGTGGTGGGGTCCCCATCACCTTGCCCTCCTTGCTACCTGTGTCCTCAGGATGTGTGATGCTGGGGAAGGGCTCTACACCTTTCAGACACAGGAAGGGGAACAGATTTACCAGCGGGTCCACAGTGCCACCCTGGCCATCGCTGAGCAGCACAAGCGGGTCCTGCTGGAGATGGAGAAGAACGTGAGGGTGAGGCCAGTGGACACAAGTCCAGGGTCCAGGGTGGGCAGGCCTGAGTGCCTGGGGCCTCCCAGCCAAGTCTCTAGCCAGCGTGTACAAGGTGGGGGGAAGGCAGGCTTTTTATTGGGGTGGGGACGGGGGAGACACAGTCTTGTTCTGTAGCCCAGGCTGATCTCAAACTCAGAATCCTGCCTCAGCCTCCCAATTTCTGGGACTAACAGGTGTGTGCCACCATGCCAGACTAAGGCAGGCAGTCCTGAGCTAGTGCTCAGGGTCAGTGTCAGCCACTACCCCTAGAGCTAATGGGAAGGACTCCTTCTCTGCCCCACAGCTGCTGAACAAGGGCACTGAGCATTACTCCTATCCCTGCACACCCACTACCATGCTACCCCGCAGTGCCTACTGGCACCACATCACAGGTTCCCAGAACATTGCTGAAGCCTCCAGCTATGCCGGTGAGTCACTGCTCTGCCTCACACCCACGGAGGACCAGGCCTACTGGGCAGGGGTCTTTTGATGTGGATCTGACTTGAGCCCCAATCACCTTCTCTGCCTACAGGAGAGGGGTATGGGGCAGCCCAGGCCAGCTCAGAAACAGATCTCCTCAACAGATTCATCCTGCTAAAGCCAAAGCCCAGCCAGGGGGACAGCAGCGAGGCCAAGACCCCTTCCCAGTGACAGCAGGGCTGCTGGGCACCAATGACTGCTGGGGCCACCTGTTGCAGAACTGACTGCAGCATCCTATGGACAGCCTGAGGGGTGGGCTGTTGGTCAAGGGCCTGGAGAAAGGGAGCGAGGTGTTCCCTCCTTGCCCCCAGGGGTGTGGCTGGACCAAGGCAAAGAGCTGGCCACCCATCTGAGCATGTGAGGGGCTGAGCTACTGTGGGACTGTATACTGTTCATGATTTTAATATATATGGCTTATGACATACTCTATATACTGAGATTCCCCCCATCCCTCCTACCAACACATAACACATTTTTTAATCCCATGACCAAACCATGGTCACGGTCAAGGCAGATTTTGAGTATGAGGGCAGCTGTTTCCCTGCCCTCTGTTGTACAGCCCTCCTGCTGCCAGGACTTACCTGAGCTGCCAGGACTAGGGGAGGGGAACAATCAGAACTCGAGGCTGGCATGCTTGCGAGCTTTCCCCAAGCAGCCTAGGAGCCCAGACAGGAGGTGGCTTCTCAGTTCTCTGGGCCTGGAGTGACACAGGAAGGATCCGAACTTCCCCTGTGCCACTTGGCAACCTTGCACTTGGGAGTTCTAAGCAGAGGCGACATCTGGTTGATGCCTCAGGTGAAAATCTAGTTTAAAACGTACTTTCTGCACACCCTGCTTCCTGCTTAGCAGGATGTGAAGATGCCCTTGGGGTGGGGGGTGCCGTTACCTCAGCCAGGTGCAGGATGGGCCAGGTGGGAAGGCTGCGGCAGGACTGCTATGGGGAGCACCCCTGCTGCCCCCTCTCACTAACCAGGGGAGGATGCTGCCCCAGCAGAGGAGCCCCTCCACCCTGAGCCTGGCCACCCTATGCCAGAGCACTCAGAACCAAGACCTTCCCATTCCTGCTCTCCACATGGTGCTGAGGCTCCCTGCTGAAATGCAATTAAAGCAATTGATTTTCTAGTGCTGGTATTTATTGACTAACGTGCAGAAGGGCTATCTTTCTATTCACATCGAACCTTTGGTTGCGTGGGTTTTTGTTTATTGTTTTTTAATATTTTAGGGTTCTGATTTGTGGGAACAGACCTTCTTGTAAATAACCACTGTTCACATTTTGGCAGGATGATGACAAAGCAAGAGGCCCCTCCCAAAGGAGCCCTAGAGCCAGGGTGGTTGCACAGCCAGCTCAGCTCTGAATGTGACCCAGGGAATGATCACCCAGAGCAAGCTAGTGTGCTGGGGAGCTGGGGTCCAAAGGCCTTGGGGAGGGAGGCAGAGCTGGCTGGCTCAGCTAGTGGCACGATGACGCATGAAGGAGATTATGTTGTGCTCTTTATTGCCAAAAATAAAAACTTTTGAAAAGACAGCTATTGTTAATCAATATCCCTTCCTTTCTGTACTGATTTCTGCTTTTCTCCAGGCTGCCTAACCACCCTGAGTATGCTCCTACCTGGAGACAGTGCTAAGGAGCCAGGACCAGAACCTTCATTAGGAGAAAGAAATGTGTGGAGGAGCCTTTGCTCCTGCCCACCCCCCACCACCAAACAAAACGATCAGGCTGCTGGCAGGGAAGGAGTTCGAAACTGGTGGGTAGAGAATAAGAGCACCTTTATTTGTGGGAGCAGAAGACAGCCACAGTCCCAAAGTTACTTCTCGAATTAGGGACACTTAGGAATTTCAAGTGCCAGTAGGTTAGCCCTCAGGGAAGGATCAGAGAGCTTACACGCTTCCTGGATAACTAAATCTTAAAACCAGAAACCTCAGATACAGCTGTGAAAACTCTTGAACATAAAGGCTTTAAAGAGCCGGAATGACCTGGAGAAGTCCAGTGGTTCTCAACAAGGAAACAGGACAGCCCCCTACTGGTGTGCTAGGAGTCAGGATGGAAGGGATGCTTTGGGCTCTGAGACCAAGGATGCTAAATGTCTAGTAAAAATCGGCTCTGCTAAACACCAGAGGCATTCCTGGTAATCTATCTGCAACCCCCAGCTAGCTGGTCTTGGTGACCTATTGTGAAACTTGAGCAGCAGCAGTCCAGAGCCCAGTTAACTAAAAGGGCTCAAGAGAGACCTGAAATCCAGCTGCTGCCTTGACTCCCCATTGTGCTTAAACACGCAAGCTGCAGTTAGTTTATGGTTAATACATCGCTCTGGATCTCATGGCTTAACTGAGTCTGTAAATCACTCAACTTCTTCTTCAATCCAGACAGGGCTGAGAGGACAATGGTTTCAGGGCGCAGAGAGCCACAGGATTCCACATTGTAGTAAAACCTAGGAGGCAGGAATGTCGTGAGAGCCCAGCCCACACTTCCCTGCCCTGGGTCTGACTTCATTTCCACAGGGAGCCTGACCTTGGCACAGGGCAGACCTTTCATCTAAAACCACCTATGCAGCGGTCCAAACCACTTTGCAGCTCGAGGACACAGGTACTTCAAACAGGTACTGTTTGAAGTAAATCCTAAAACAATTCTGTATGCAGATGTTCCACACAGGGGACAAAGTAGAAAATCAAACTAGCAGCCTCTCCCTGATACATTCCTTTACATTCTTCATGGTAGAACCCAAACTAGGACCTAAATAGCCTTTTCTTTGGGGGGTCAAGGACAGAACAGGAACAGGGTGGGTTGCTGGAGGCCCCTTCTTTCTCATGGTGACCAAAAGGGAAATGATCACTGGCCTGGGGTGGGCACACACCATAGGTTCCAGTTTGGCAGCTGGTGGGTGAGAACTGGGATGTGAGGAGCTGCCTGATTCAGCCTGCATACAAACCCTACATTCTCACACTGCACCTTCCTGCATGGGACCAGGGTCTTACCTCTCTGGCTTGCCGTTGGGATCATAGGGAGCCTGTGACTCATCCTCATCCAGCTCCGAGTACTCACTCTTTGGCCTGAGGTCAAACACAGGTCAGCACATGGCCACTGCTACTTTCAGAGCCCTGCAATTCAGAGAGCCTGCCCCACCTCATGCACTAGCAGCCCCTTTCAACCCAGCCCCACCAGAGATGGGACCTACCATTCCTCAGGCTTGGGGTACACAGTATGCCTCAGGGCATTGTCTGGATCATATTCAAAAGCCACCCCTGCAGTTGGGTTCCACTTGGCATGCTCCTTGCCAAAGCCCTTTTTGGCATAGGCTCGAAGCCTCAGCTCCTGCCCCTTTCTCAGCTTGACAATGAGGATGTCTGCAGGCAGAGAGAGGTGCGAGTCAGTCAAGGGAAAGAGGGGCCCAGTTCTCCACCTTCCGACCTGGAGTGCTCCAGAAGACCACACGGGGAAAAATGGGTTTAGGGCCACATTACAGAGACCCGGCAGAACGAGGCTGTCTGGTGTGTCTGGCCTATGCAGCCACAACTCAGGAAGATGTCTGCACACCTGCCCTAGCCCCTTACCGTCCTGCTCCACATAATCATTGGGGTCATTGTCTCGGTTCCGGGATGTCACCTGTAGGAGCCCAAACAGAGGCATTTATTAGCCTCTCCCCTCCCAAGTCACCTCTTCTGCACTAGCTCCCAGCACCTCCAACCTGCAATATGTCAACCCAGGGAAAGGATGCTCAGAGGAGGCAGAGGTACCTCCAGGGACTCCATGCTACTCTGACAGCCTTCTCAGTCAACAAGCCTATGGCCTTTAAAAGGGTTCACTGTTGACAGAGGATACACAGGGATCAATGCTGCTCTACCCAAGAATCCAGGATCAGCACTTCTAGTTGGCAGTTTAGAGAAAGCCAACGTCTCACGACAATCCACTCCAGCCAGGCCCACTGGGAGCCAAAAAGGGCAGAGCACAGGCCCTGGGGAGGGAGGGCACTCAGACACTGACCGGAATGACCCGGGGACTGTTGGAAATGAGGTCTCGAGAGGTGACATGCCGTGTCTGGTCTTCGTTGCACCGCACGTCGAGTGTAAACTCTACTGAGCACTCAGGGCAGAACTCTTCACAGGTGCAGTCCTGAGGCAGTGGGGAAACAGGAAGGAGTGCATGAGGAGATGAGGAATTCCAACCAACCCCTGCATCTAGTACCCAGTCCCTTTTTAAGTTCATCATCTGTGGGCTGGGGATTTAGCTCAGTGGTTTCGCTGCCTGCTGCGCAAGCACAAAGACCCGAGTTCGATCCCCAGTACCAAAAAAAAAAAAAAAGTTCATCATCTGTAAAGAGGGCCTGACCACAGTCTCCAGGCTCTTGTGGGCTGTGACAATCTGGAACACTATTCTTATGGGCCACTCCAGCATAGAGACAAACTACATACGCGTTGACACCCACATCCTCTTCTTACCCACTGGCTGGCTGCCAGGCCACCCCAGGAGATACACTGCTACTTTCTCTGGCCTTGGAGTCCCCTTTCTCAGGATCAAGGCTATGACAAGAGGGTCATTCACTATAGACTATGGACTAAGGAGACCACCTTGGGGGAGATAAGCATCCTTAAAATACAGCAGTAGCTGGGCATAGTTGTGCATGCCTTTAATCCCAGCACTCAGGAGGCTGAGGCAGGAGGATCAGTGAGTTCAAGGCCAGCCTGAACAACATAGCAAGACCCTGTCTCAAAAAGCCAAAAATAAAATAAATTATAAAAAGACAGAGAAGAACAGAAAAAAGTAACTTTTAAGTTCTAGAATACTGACTTCTTTAAAAACCTTTCTCTTATGGAAAATCTCATACATGCAGAAAAATAGAAGGGTATATAATATATTGCTACTACATGACCATTACGAAGCTGTCACAATTATCAACATTTGCCATTCTTTAAATAACTGGTTTGGTTTCTTGGCATTATCGGGGCAGAACCCAGGGCTTTGTGTATGTTTGGTAAGTGCTCTATTACTAAGCTGCCTCTCCAGCCTACCAACTGGTTCCTTTTAAAAAAAAATTTGTTCTTTTAAAATTATGAGACACTGGGGCCGGGGATTTAGCTCAGTGGTTCTGCCGCCTACCTTGCAAGTGCGAGGACCCAAGTTCGATCCCCGGTACCAAAAAAAAAAAAACATTATGAGACACAGTCTTACTATGTAGTTCAGGCTGGCCTTGAACACACAGCAATCCTCTGGCCTCTGCCTCCTGAATGCTGGGATTACAGGCATGCACCACCATGCCTGGCTTTACCAACTGACTCTCGAAACAAACTATTCCCACGATAGGAACTCTCTGTGGCAATTTAACTAGGCAAGAAGAGTTACATGGATGTAATCACAAAGACTGCTTTCTCCCTCACACTAGTGAGGAAACCTCAATCTATTCTACATTTAGAGATGATGAGAGAGAAGAACCAATTGCCGGCCACTCTTGGGTATCTGCAGTCTTACCAGGGTGGGATACGACAACCTCTTAATACACAGGAAGGGAAGAATCAAAATATAAGACAGTTAAAATATAAAAAGGTACTCAACCTATAAAATAAAATAGCATGCTGAAAAGAGTCTGTTCAAGATGAAAAGACACTACAGTGCTCTACCAAAAACAAAGACTACAAAGACCTCTAAGAACCAAGAGAAATTTGGCTGCATCACACTCCCACAAACACAAAATAGAGGAATTTTGGAGATACTAGGAAAACTTGGATGTGAACTAAATGTAGATATTACAAATTAATGCTTATTTTCTTATGCATAATAGGGTGGCTATGTGGGACACTATCTTTATTCTCAGAAGATGTGCATGAAAGTACCGAAAAAAGAAGGGTCAGGATTCTGAAACTTACTTTTGAATAGTTCAGCAAAAATTATACCACATGTTAAAAATAATTCAAATGTAACAACATATTAACAACTGGTAACTACACAGGAAGAGTAAATGAGTGTTTATTCTGGTTTTTTAACTTTCTATAGATTCTCAGGGAAAAAAAGCACCATCCTTGTTCAGTAAGTATATTAGAAAGAATTTAATAAAAGGAATTGCTAAGTTGTAGGGCATGCATACCAAATTGTTCTTTTTTTTTTTTGGTACCAGGGACTGAACTCGGGACCTTGTGCTTGTGAGGTAGGCAGCGGCACCACTGAGCTAAATCCCCAGCCCCCCAAATTGTTCTTAATTGACTGTACAATTGTCCCCACCAATATGTGGGGGTTTTTGTTTTGTTTTTTGTGGTACTGGGGATTGAAACCAGGGCCTTTGCACTGAGCTATATCAGAACCCTTTTTAAATTTTTTGAGACAGGGTTTCACTAAGTTGCTCAGGCTGGGCTCAAACTTGCAATCCTCCTGCCTTAGTCACCTATAGTGCTGTTAAGCTTTATTTCTTAGAAACAAAAATCTTGGGGCTGCAGTAGTAGCTCAGTGGTAGAGCACTTGCCTAACAAGGTTGAGGCTCTGGGTTCAATCCCAGCCTAGGAAAGGGACTGGAGATGTGAAACAAATATGGCAAAATGCAAAATGTGACCAATTAGTTAGGTAAAATTTGTAATATTAGCTCCACATTTTCTGTGTGGGTATTTCTCAAAACGAAAACAAAAACAAACCCTATACACATATTTAGAAGACATATCACGTAAGCCACTAGAGATGACATGCCCTTCCTTGGGAATATCAGAAAAAGGCTTGATTCAGTATCACCCAGAGCCATCAAAAGGGCATAGTCTGAGCTGTTATCTAATGCTGCCCTAGTAAAACTAAAAAAGCCCTAGTAAAAGATGAAATTAACCCAATCTCTCCTACTTTCCCCTGTTAACACATCATCAGAGAAAGCAAACCCGATCCTATGGAGAATAAGAGTGGCCATGCTTCAAGAGCCTCCCCTACCGGAAGAGGCATGGATCTGGCAGGCACCTGTACTTAAGTCCCTCAGGTGCTGCTGCTCTAGTGAACAGTTTCCACTCCCTCTGCTCCTTGTTCCCATTGACCCCATCCTGCTGGCTGATTCCTGTCAGCCTGCCAGTCTCATGTTGCTGGAAGAGATGCTCTAGAAAGAAGAGCCCACCAGCCAGTATAAATGGGCATTCAGGTAGATGCCCCCTCTTGTGTGGCTGGCTAACGAGATGCCTTTATGCCTAATCAACCTGAAGCCCCATAAGAACCAAAGACTAGGTCTGCCTCAGGGGCTAGACAATTCCACACTGTCTCCCTAAACTACAACAGAGTCCAAACCAGAAACAAGCTGTCTGGAGAAGTCTCTAAGAAAAGTGAAGTCTCTCCCCACCCCCAAGGTCCACCCACCACACACACATACCCGGGAGTACTGCAGCTTGTCCACAATGTCATCACTAGTGAGGGGAATTAACCCTGTAAGACACAGAAAAGCACTTTACCGAAGTCCCAATACCCAAGCCAACCCACAAACTCACAAGTCCCTTTGGGAGCGAGGAGGGAGGGAGGGAAGCCTAGGCCCAGTACCCATCCTTCAACCTTCCAACACCAGAACACTAGCACTCACCAAGCCTGTGTGCGATGAACTCATCATGAAGGACTGAGGAATTGGCATCAATCTGAACCCAATCGATGGCTACAAATGAAGGAAGCAAAGATGCACAAAGTGATTTAGCCACCAAATTCACCTAAAGACTTACAGCAATGCTCTCAAGATCCTTAGGGAAGAACAGATGCCGGGGCCAGGATGCTGGAGGCTCTGATTTCACTGTGCTAGAACGGACCCCAGGAACCTGCATTTTAACAACCACACACCCACACATGGGACCTCTCCCCACTGCCCAGGTGAATTTACTGCAGAGGGTTCCCTGTACTACACAGAGAAACACTGAGGGAATATCACAGGAGTGGGGACATATATCTTTGAGCTGAGTATTTCTGTAAGAAGCATTTAAATGTGCTACCTGGGCTGGGGATTTAGGTCAGTGGTGCCTCGCCTGCCTTGAAAGAAGGTCCTGAGTTCAATCCCTGGTACCTAAATAAATAAATGTGCTACCTGAGACAATGCCAATCCTAACAAAAACTATGTGGGCACTTAATAACACAAACTCATGCTAAGTTTGTATACATCTGTCTAAGACAAGGTCTCACTAAGTGACTAAGTTGCCCAGGCTGCGTTTGAATTTCTTTCTTTTTTTTTTTTTGGTACCAGGGATTGAACTTGGGACCTTGCACTTGCAAGGCAGGCACAGAAACCACTGAGCTAAACCCCCGGCCCCTAGGTTTGAATTTCTGATCTTTCTGCCTCAGCTTCCTATAGAGCTGGGATTACTAGCAGGTGCTGCCACAACCAGTACCATCCCTCATTTTGTGACACAATGACTATATCACCCAATTTCAAACTTCATTACCATTCCATAATGGATGTTTTGTGAATTCCATCAGTGGGCTAGGCATACTGATATAAAACCCAGTCCCTACCAGCAATGTGCTGGGAGGCCAAGGACTGTACTCTTACACATGCTTGACTTAAATACAAATTTATCCATTCACAAATAAACATCTGCATGTAAACAATGACATTCAGAAATTAATGGGATGGGGGCCCAACTCCTAACTTACAGTGCTTTGTCCTGCTACTCTTCCTCAATCTAAGCAAACACCATGACCCAAGCTATTCTACCTCTTCACTCGTCCCCTGCCCCTGCATGCCTTTACTCTGTTCACTCCCCTAACACCCTCTAAGCCTCCTAAAAATGAAGTTTTATTTACTATCCATGCTGCAGATGTGATCACTCCCTCCCTTTGAACTCTTCCTTCAGATAAGTCTGTCCAGACTTTCTTTTAAGACACCTGTAGGGCTGGGGATTTAGCTCAGTGGCTCCAACGCCTGCCTCGAAAGCGCAAGGACCCAAGTTTGATCCCTGGTACCAAAAAAAAAAAAAAAAAAAGACACCTGTCGTAGTTTGTTTTGCGTCATATTTGTATCATACCTCTACCTCAAGCTTTTGAAAATTCCCGAGGCAGGGTTCTGAGATGCTGTTGCATTCCTAGAGTGGGTACTCAATATCATCTTCAGAAATAAATTTGTAAGAAAAGAGGCATTTAGACTCAGGCTGTCAGGGCTGCACCACTTTACTCATAATGGAACTGAGGCTCAGAGGCACGCAGAGATTTGGCAGAGGTAGGACCAGCATGCCAAGCTGAGCTGAAGATGTGACTGGGATGGTGGAGAAGCACAACATTCTCTTGATCGCTAACCATTCGGTCTGCTTATTTTCTTAAGTCTGATAACTTGACCCACCAGCTATGACTTATATATCCTTTGCCTAACCCAACTCTCTGAGCTGACACTTAGAACACACTTGTAGACTTATACAAGCATAATCAATGTGTAAAACACTTGGAGCAGAGTGGCTAGAACCAGACCAGAAACAGGTCTGCACTCAGCTAGGCACCAAGTGCCCTGTGGCTATGCTTCTCCTGTCCTGCTCCAAGTTTATGTGTGTCACTGTTGTCTGTGGATTCATCTTTCTCCTGCAACTTTACTGTGAGCTCCACCAGGGCTAAACCCCTGTTCTACACAGCAGTGCATTCCCAGTGCCCAGCACCATGCCTGGCACTTAGATGTCCCATTCGCGAAGTGGAAAGAAGAGATTCATAAAAACACATCTATCAGTACTGAACACTCACTAGATGCAAAGCACTTAATACAGATGAGCTCACTTAATCCTCGCCATCACCCATATGCCCTGTTACTTTCTCCTGTTTCCACACAGCCATTAAGTGAAAACTGTCGGACCCAAGTCAGCCCAGGTCTGAACCAACGCTTCTCAGCAAGTACAAACCGTGTAAGGGGGTACCTAAGTGGCCCTCGAGAGCCTGGGAAGCCGGCAGAGGCCACTGCACCAGCAGCACCGGGTCTAATCAGGTCTCAGCACCCCCACCCCCAGACCCCCAACCAAAGACGAAAGGCAGGTGCTCCAAGGTGGCGGCAGGGACTGAGAGGAATAAGAACCTGGCAGGAATCTTACCTATGATGGGGACTTCAGCGATGAAGACCCTCCGAATGGAATTGGCCACCCTGAGGGAGAGACAACCGGCGGCATGGGTCCCGCACCCCGCGCTCCCACGCCAGCCCTGGCACAGGATGGGTGGCTCTGGAAGGACCCCACCTCCACCCCGAACCTGCGGAGCCGCCAGGCGCTTCCCACAGCTGCCTTACGCCAGGTCCGTGTTCTCTATGATAAACTTGACATTCTCGTCGGTTAGCTCAGTGATCCGCACAGTGGGCTGGTTGGCGTACGGCATCTCGCCCCTCCACCTGTGGGCTCCCTGCCTCTGGGCCTACCGAATCCGCCCCGCCGCAGCGACCGGAAGTTGGACAGCGCGGCCCTCTCTGCTTCCGCCGGGACGCGCCGCAGCGCCACCTGCCTCTCGGAGGCTGGGACCGCCCCAGGCCAGCGTTTCTACTTCGCCTGCTTCAAAATTCACCAGGTTCAACCTCCCCCATTCAAGACAGGCTGGCCTTGAACTCACTAAGTAGCACAGGCTGGCCTCGAATTCGGAGTGATCCTCCTGCTTCAATGTCCCAAGTGCAGTTCAACCATCTTGGAAAATAACGAGGCAAAACATATGTTGACATAACAATTAACTTCTAAGACTTCACACTGCAGAAGCATTTGAAAACAAAGATACACGTACAGGGCTGTTTGTTTGCAGGACTGTTAGTAATGGCAAAGGATAAAATTTGTAAGACAATGTTTTTTGATAAGAATCCTGGTTAGAAAAAAAGAGAAAGAGTCCTGGTTAAATATATACACATAGAAATACTATGAAGCCTTTAGAAAGAATGAAGTAAAGCTGTATCTCTATGGAAAAGTAAAAGCATACTTAGCATTGTACGTATACCTTAGCAAAGTAAGCTTGAACTAGAGGTATATAAACTTTTCTATCCAACGTTCATGTCTGGATTGTGTGCTTCTAAAAACTGTAGGAAAAGATACAATGCTCTTCAAAATAATACATCATCTACAGTTCTGTGTACTTGCAGAGGGTGGGAGCTCTTCATCTCTGCATCCTCAGCACCTGGTAGTGTGTACCACATGGGGTGTGTGCTCTACCAAAAAGTAAGGTGTGGTGGCACACACGTGTAATCCCAGTACCCTGAGAGGTTGAGGCAAAAAAATCTCAAATTCAAGCTTGGTCTGGACTAGAGACTTAGTGAGACCCTGTCTCAAAATAAAAAGGAGCTGGTAGCCAGAGATGGTGGTGCGCACCTGTAATCCCAGCACTCAGGAGGCTGAGGCAGGAGGATTCCTGTGAGTTCAAGGCCAGCCTGGGTGGGCTACATAGTGAGACCCTGTCAAAGAAAGAGGGGGAGGGGCTGAGGATGTAGCTCAGTGTGAAGGCCCTGGGTTCAATCCTCAGTACCAGGAAAAAGACTCCTACACAGCTTAGAGAAGGGTTTCAATGGGCCTCTAAAAAGTGGCGGTTGAAATGAGACCCTTAAATAGAAACCAGTAGGTATTACATTTAGAAAAATAATCAGAGAATAAAGAGGAGTTTGTTGTAGCAGGAAGTGATATCTCTTCCAGGTACTAGGGCAGGAGCACTGAAGGGGCCCTTTTCCACTACCCATGCTGTCTCAGTAAATTATGAATTACAGTCAACTAATGAGTGTGAAATGGATGCTATGAAAGAAAAAGGAAAGAATGCAATGGAACATGGAATAGTACTGCAGGAACCTCACAGGGCATTAAGAGACACAAAGAATCTGAGGTACAGAAAGGGCCTAGCAGAAGCCCCACAAGTAGAGATCCGAGGCCCTATTAGTTCCTGACTTCCCCACTGATACTCAGCTGATTTAGGCAGGTCAGGGAAAAGCAGAAGATGGAGTTAGCCAGAAATGCAAAGGGAGTCAATGAGTTAAAGAATGTATCACTGGCGCTAGGCATATAGCTCCTAGGTTCAATCCCCAGAACAAAAAAGGAAAGAAAAAGAAAAGAATGTATCATTGAAGTGGTCAGGGGCAGACAAGACAGCCAAGGGAGCTAATGGTCTTTGAAAGGCCTGTTACCTTCCAGCGACCAATGGGAAGACCTGGGCTCAGAGACCTGGGCAGAGCTGTCATAACTGCCCCTCAGGTACCGCCCCCCTTAGGCAGTGCCAGGGCCAGACCTTAGGTCCCCAGGCTACTAGGTGTAAGCCTCTTCCATAATACATCACCTTCCGCTGGGGTCTTGAATACCTATCTTGGTCTAGATAGAAACTACACAATAGGCATTTCCTTCAAACATATTTATTATTTTTTACAGATCCTAAATACACCAATAATCCTTCAATGCATGTTGGCATAATGTGATGCCAAGCTTGGAATCACAACACTGTCCAGCAGGCACCTGTCCAGGTGAGGCAGCTTTCAGAGGGGATCAGCAGGAGTAGCCTCTCAGGTCAGCTGAGGAAACTGTGTTCCTGCCTATGCTGTGCCATGCCGGGGATGAGCTGCCACCTTGTGGTAGCTTCAGACCTTTCCTCGGTCTTGGGAGCCCCAGGGAGCACGCCTAAAACAGCTAAGCCATGATCAGGGTGCCTGCTTGTGAGACCATGATGGGGCGTGCTGAGTTTTATGTTGCTTGGTTGCGTCTCATTTTTCAATCATACAGCTGCACTACAGAAAGGCATCAAAAGGCCAGAGCCTGCTATCAGAAAATGAAGAGGTGACCTGTGCTAGGCCAGAACCATATCATCAAGGGCCCTGTGGTTTCCAGGTGGCTGTGGGAGTGACTCTGGAGTCCTTCAGTGTGTGCTCATTAACATCCTACCCCATGGATGATGCTTCATACTTCTCAAAGCCCTTTAAATCTACTCGCTGGTTTTCTTCCAAGCACTTTGGTGTATTCCCCTTCCTCTCACCGGCGCTGGTTTAGACCTGTCAGGTTCTTGAGCTGACACAATGAGGGAAACAGAGTGGTGAGACCTTACACTGCCTCTAGGACTCCACTGGGAAAGACTGAGGTTTTCAAGGCAGGAAGCACAGCTATGACACACCAGAGTCCTGGAATCAGTGAAGTTTCTATATGTCAGTAAAAAAATAACAAGGTAGGCCATTCTTGATCAAGACTGACACTGGGGCTGAACCAGTGTCAGTCTTACTATCAGCATTCTGTTTAAGGCTCTGAGCTATGTGGGGTCAATGACACATGTGGTAAGCTTCACAGGGCCAGAGCAGGAAGAGGGGTAGGCAGGGGTAAGCTGGGCAGTACTCACCGTCACTGCTGCACCCATGAGTCCTTGCACCAGAGCCTCTCCAGTCAATTTCACCTAGAAAAGTATAAGTCAGGTTCCCTTAGGCCCCAGCATGAGCTCAAAAGTGGGAGAGGGACAAATTGGAAAGCCTATGAGCCCCAACAGGTGGAGTCAAGATGGCCCTGTGTACTAGAGGAGGAGCCTATGGACAATACACAATGGGCAAGGCACAGCTCTCAGGGAAGGGGTGGTGTGAAGAAGAACCAGCCAGGCTCCCTGGAAAGGCCCTGGGGACTGACAGCTGAGGCCCTAGGGAGCAAGAGAACAGCTAGGTGACCAGCTGTGGCCTGAGGATGGCTGTGCTGACTGAAGAGGTTTCCTAATGGCTGGTCCCCAGCTACCTGCTTGGCAGTGTGGCCCACGTTCATTGCATCATTAATCCGGTTTTCCAGGAAGCGCCAAGTGTCCTCAAAATCTGGGGACGAGTCCTGCATCATCACCAGCTCTGTTGTGTTGTAGATGCCAGCCAGCACAGCTCGGCGGGTGTACCAGTTAAACTGCAGAGAAATGCAGCCAGGAAGGTGGGTTACTACTGCTGTTGTGGGCTGGGGGAAGCCTGAGGTAGTTCCTACCAAAGGCCTCAGGGACTCCCAGGCTCCCTTCTGATTTCTTCCATCCCTTGAGATACATCCAACCCTCTGGTCTACATTAATGTCCCAAATCTGTCTGGGCATCAGAACTGCCTGCAGGATTAATGTAAGCTCCTGGGCTCAACCTCTAGCATTTACAGTGGGCCTGAATGATGGCAGGATGTTGAATCAGCATTCCAAGTGATCTAGGGACATCTAACCCATTTGGAACTGCTAGGAAAAAGACTAAGTCTTAGGACATCTGAGTCGCAGGGAGGTGTTGCAATTAGCCAGTTACGACCAAACCTTCATGTGCTTATAAACAGGGTGGGGGCTGAGGGGAGATCAGGGACAGGTTACAACACCTGGGCAGAGTCGAGAGTTCAAGTTCCTCTGTGACTTCTGCCGGTCCTGCAAACGACTCTTCAGGGGACCAGCTCAGCTGCTCAGTGTTTTATTCCTTTAATTTCTTTTGCTTTCTAATTTTGTTTTCCTATCATCTCTGTTGGGGGCATATTCCCACACCGAGGAAGCTTATTACAGCACTTTGTTATGAGTGGTGGGAGTATCTGCGTGGATCTCACAAAGTACCATCACATTTTAATTTCTTTTATGAAGGTGTGCTTTGTTCTTTCAACTTTCCACCAGAAACATGATAGCACTGACAAGTCAGATACTTTCCTGTACCTCTTTAAAAGAGCTTATTGATCATTTACCAAAGCAGGCCAAGATGGGTCGGGGGAGGCAGTTTCTTTTTAAAGTGGGCGTCTCCATGGCATTCTTTCTTTCTTTTTTTTTCAAAATCAGTCCCAGGAAAGACAAACACTGAGGAATTCTACTGCAGAATCTATATCTGAGGAGACTGAGGCGGAAACAGTTCTAAAAAAGCAGCCCAATCCCAAGGGCCTCTGAAGCCTCATGCCACCACTGTAGGTGGGAAGGAATAATCACTGGTTTGTGTCTGGTCTCTGAGTGAAGATAACCCAGATTCACTTTGGCTTATTGAGGGACTTTCCTCAGACCTTAGATGGCAATGTCACTGTGTGCACATGTGGACACACACACACACACACACACACACGCACAGGACAATTTGTGATCAAAGAAATTTCACAAAATTCTTGAAGAAATGCTTAACTCAAGCCTTTCCCAGTAACAGTGGGCTGCAGAAAACACTCACATCTGTGGACTGGTCCCCAGCATAATGCCACATGTCATCCACCATGCTGGTGAGCAGGCTTAGGCTGGGTGGGATGTTGTGAGGGAGCAGGAGGATGCCGAGGGCCTGTGGAGAGAGTAACAGGAAGAGATTCTGCACACAGATAACAACAGCACATAGGTGGCTCTACAGAGTCAGGAGGGGGACAGTTCAGCTCCGGTTCTCTGAGACCCACAGTCCCCACCCCCACAATGTGAGTTCCCTGCAGCTAACGACCCTGACTACAGCTAATGGGAGCCAGGTTATATTTTTGTCCTAAGCTGGCCCAATCAGATTCTCCATCCCTAACATTTGGAATTGGGACTGCAGACAGCCAAAGGGTCACGGTCTAGTCCTGAAAGCAAGCATGGGGAGGGCACCCCACTCCATCAGAGTTAGAAGCAGACAGCAGGAGAGGGCAAAAGGGATGGGAGTGTGGGGTGGCTTCCATGACCGCACACAAGGCCACCCCCAGAGCCCAGCAACAATCCTGCCTGTGGCATACCACCACAGTATCACAATAAATTCCTACTCATTCTTTTGCTTAATTCACATTGACTTCTATTTCCTGTAAGCAAAAACTCTTCAACTAATACTAGCAATGACACAAACCAGATCGCTCTATTAGCAGACACAGTTCCTCCCGGCCTGATAAGCCCAGGTTGTATCACTTTACAAATGCTAAAACCTAAGGGCTATGGCCTGGGGAGCTGGATTGGCTGGAAGTTCTCTCTTACTGAAGCAGCCCAGAAGGAAACTGAATCGGCAAGGTAGTGAGGGCCTGATGTGTACATTTCCAGGGCTTCAACTGCAGGAGGCAAGACTGACTGGCTCTATCCTCCCCTCACATCCAGCTGGGACCAGGTGCACTATAGGTGCTCAGGTATCTGTCAACCAGAAGACTGAAATTACATGCTCAAAGGTGTCTTCCAACTAGATTGAGGATACTGGATGGTTGAGTCCCTCTCATTTCTGACGTGCTTTGACTCTGTAACTCAAAGAATGGCCCACACTGTGACATGCTTTGAAACAGGAAAAAGCTCAGAAAAGTTAGGAAAAAAAAAAAAAAGTGGAATGAATACTCCTTTACCCAAACATCATAGTGATAATTTGACAAGAAGCCCCAGTCCTTGAGATCGGAAACAGGACAGGCTATTATTATTATTATTTGTTGGGGGGAGGGTTCTCACTATGTAATCCAAGTTGCCTGAACTCGTGGTGATCCTGTGCCTCAGCCTCCCAGGTGCTGGGATTACAAGCGTGTGCCACTATACCCAGCTAGGTCAGGGCTACTACTGAAGTAAGACAGGCAATAAAATGTTCTGCCTATTTTAACCTCTTTCAGGTATTCTTCCTTGTGGAAGATTTAGTGGCACGCTCAGGCCGCTGGACCCTCATCTGAGATGTGCAGTCACACATATCCAGGAACCAAGACATAGATGGCTTAGAGTTGCTCTCTTTGCACGCCCAAGCTTGAAACCTAGCTCTACGAACCGTACTACACATTCCTGGGTTTATGGAGATTAATGACCTAACTTCTCAACAGTGTGCAAAGTCCTCTGAGTGAAAGGCGTTGAGAGTGAGAATTATTAATATTATTGGTGCTTTGGGGCCTGGATATGGACTCTGTACCCGGGGCCAGTGCTCAATGTAGGGAATCAGCATTCTCAGTCTGGTTTCCACTGCATCCCTCAGGAACTGGTCTGTCTTCCTCTTCCTGGAAGAGGGAAAAGAAAACAGTGTGTCTCTGGGTCACAGGCAGGGGCTCAGTGCTGCACTGCTTACTCAACCCTGGGGAGGCAGGTCCCACTAGCTTCTGACACTGAGCTCACTAAAGCTGCCACATGGACTCCTGGGTTTCAGTCCCTTCAAAAGCAGCAGGGTTGTTAGTGCTACTCACTTTTGGCTCTGCTTGGGTTGGTTTTCTGGGGTTAGCTGATGCAATCAGAGTCCCCCATCCTCGGCCACCACCCTGAGCAGTAACGCCACAGGACTTACTCTGCCTGGCCCAGCTGCACCAGCTTCTGCTCCTCTTCTAGAATGCAGGTAAGCTGAGCGTTGCTCTGGGTCACAAAGTGCAGTATCAGCTCACTGCCGTCATTCCCAAACATGCTGGCTGCTGCACTGGAGAGACCCAGAGACTACAGCAGGGAAAAAGAACAGAAAAGTGATGGGCAGGGGTTGTGGACATTTGTTGCCTGGTCACCAACAGTGCCTCTTCCAGTAGCAGGGGTGGGACTTTCAGCCAGACCCCGACTCTTCACTCTGGCCTATGTGATTCTGATGAAGCTGACCACCGCCAGTCCCTCCAATACCCACCAAGCCCTGTGGTGTGTGTGAAAACCATGGGCCCCAGGCTTACATGACCAGAGCTAAAAGACTAGCTCTGGAACAGACACATGACCAAGTGCAGGTCTTAGGAGTGCACCTTGGGACTCTTGCTAGCACTTAAAGGGAAGTCCTCTTTTCACTGGGCTGTTGTGCTATTTTCAGTCCTGCATGGGAAGTGCGCACTGACAGAGAAGCTTGAGGACGAAAGCAAAGCCGAAGTGGTAGAGGCAGTTCCTGGCAGCAAAGTCTAGGAACAATGAGCCAGAGCTACTTCCAGACTTTTCTGTCATTACATGAACCAAAATATCCCCTTTCTACCATGGGTCAGTAAGAGCTGAGCTCTGGCCCCTGAAACCTGGAGCCCCAATACTCCCTGCCTGACTCACTCACTTAACCTGGATTTCTTAGAACTGGATGTGTCAGTATTTAAAATAAGACTTTCTTGGCTGGGGATTTAGCTCAGTGGTTCTGCCACCTGCCCTGCAAGCACAAGGACCCAAGTTCGATCCCAGTACCAAAAAAAAAAAGACTTGCTTAATGAGTTGCCAAGGAATTAACAGCACAGAAACCTTTTGTTAGTTCTGATCCACAGCAATCACTGAGGGTCTACTAGAAACAGAACCAACAGCAGCAGGCACAGGAAAGGAAGACAAACATATTAAATGTGAATATCCATTGCTACAAGGAGAAACTGCCCCTCTTTTGGAAGAGTGTATAGCTTTTATAGAGGAAAGTTGGCAGAAGGACAGAGGTGCAGGATCAACACTAATAGCAAGTACATGCTGACTACATGCAGTCACCCTGCTAGTACCTGCATCGTCATAGCAGTTGTGAGGGGTGGGTGTTATTATCACCACTTTGTAGATGAGGAATCTGGGGGTTCAGGTGCTTATCCTCAAGGTTAGATGTCCTCTAATAAGGGTGTTAAAAGAACCTCAAGAATATACCTACTCCTGAGCCAGTTAGGAAGTCACTGTCTCTCAGTCCCAAACCTGCCCTTCCAGGTTCAGTCTGTGATGCAGGGTGTAGGACTCTACAAGCCATATTTCTGGCTCCTGATGGGCTCTGCCATAGGGTCCCTAGAGACGGGCTGCAGAGGAAGAAGGAACTGGCTCCTTCCTGTTGTCTGCTGAAGTTCCTGGAAGTAGCATCCTAGTGATGCTTCTTCACTCGGCAACTGCAGCTCCCTCCTGAAGCAGCGGCTCAACATGGTTTGCAGTTTTCTCAACACCTGCAGAACTGACTTCACCTCCCACTATCCTCTCCTCACCCTCCCGGCTCTCCTCCCAGGTTGGGTGGCAGCCTCAAACGAACCCCCTCCAGCACACAGACTGCAGCGCCAGCTGAGTACTGGCTCCTCCTTAGGGGCCTGAGATTCCCCTTCTTGGGACTCTCCTACCACCATCCAGTTTGAATACAGTAAGTCCCTGACTTATGAACATTCGAGTTGCAAACTTCCACAGATGTACTGTATTAGACTCACTGTCGGCTTATGAACAAATCCAAATCTGACTTATGAACAATTCTCCCGAATGGAACTCCTTTGTAAGTTAGGGACTTCACTTTATTCCTACATTTCCTTTTGTTCCCTCAGCCCTGCCTGGAGCTGCTTTCTGCAGTTGGTACCTCTAAAATACTTTATTCTTTTCATCCTTTCCATTACCTGCTTACCAACTTTATACCTAGTTACCAATTCTTTATATTAAATACTATTCCCCAAACTGTGTGGTTGTTGTCTTCTGACTGAACCCTGAGTGGTACAGTCCCTGAAAGAGCAACTTTCCTTCTTGAAACCTGTCCTAAAAAAAATGAATAAAAAGAGCTGGGGATGTAGCTCAGTGGCACCACATCTACTTGGCAAGTGGAAGGTTCTGAGTTCAATCCCAGTACCAAAAGAAAGAAAGAAAGGAAGAAAAAGAAAGAAAGGAAGGAAGGAAGGAAGAAAAAAAGAAAGAAAGAAAGAAAGAGAGAAAGAAAAAGAAAGAGAGAGAGAAAGAAAAAAAAAGAAAGAAAGAAAGGAAAGAAAGAAAGAAAGAACGAACTAAAGTATGTTGTACACATAGGTTTACAATACCCCCCCCCAAAGGAAACATTCAAATGTTTATGAACTGAGACTTAGGAAAACCGCACCACTTTCTGTAGAACCTTCTTCCCCACCCTCAAGCCTTTGTCTCCTTCTTTCCCCAGCTTCAGGTTCACAAGACAACCATGCCTACTTCAGAGAGAAAAAGAAGCCATTCTCTTAATTTAACCTGCAGCTGGCCTCTTTAACTCTGCACCTAATCGTCATGGTCAGTTCTTACACCTGTTTCTCCTGATCTCATAATTCTTGCCACCAGGGAACCTCATAGTTTTGATTTTGCCTATTTTTCTCCCACATCTTCACCCTCATATATCTGAACCACACTCCGGCCTCCATCCTTCTTCCCCTTCTGGGCACACCCTCCACATCCAAATGCTTCCACATTTCCTCACCTTCTGCTCATGCCTGCACCCACTCCAACTAATTTCTGATCCTAGATTCCACCCCAATGGCTGCAGCTACAGTAAACCAGTGTCAAGTTTTTTAATCCACCCTCTCCTGCTCTGCTTCCAACACTAGGATGTTTGAACTCAGACTTCCTTGATGGTTCATCGCTTTACCCTACCTTTAAATGTTAAGAGATCCTTGAGGGTCTATACTCCCCTCTCTTATCATATTATAGTCTTGCTTTGGGCATCTGATTCACTTCCACAGTTTCACTGTGACATACACTACAATGCCCACAGGTCTACCTCTAGTCCAGCTCTCTCCTCCAATTCCAGACCTGTAGTTGACAGCTCTACTTGGTTGACTCAAAAACTCATGATCAATAAGGATCAAGACTGCACTCTTGGGCTGGGAATTTAGCTCAGTGGTTTCGCTGCCTGCTATACAAGTGCAAGGACCCGAGTTCAATCCTTAGTACCAAAAAAAAAAAAAAAAAAAAAAAAAAAACCA